CTCTACCACTTGAGCCACAGTGTCACTTATAGCTTTTTCTGTTTATGTAGTACTGAGGAATCAAACCCAGGGCTTCATGCATGCTAGGCAAGCACTCTACCATTAAACCATATTCCCAGTCCAAAACTTCTGTTTTCCACAGAGAAAGAAAACAATTATTTCTTCAATTCCTAGGAGAAAAAATACCTTTACTGAATGGGAAAATGGAAAGGAAAAAATTTGAAGTACGTTTAAAGTATAAATAAAGCTGCATAAAGAACCTTGAAAGCTATTGATCAATTGGGATTGGAGGTGAGGAAAGATAAATCAGTTCTAGGCTCTGTAAGTGTGTAGGGGGAGGTGTGTTCTAGCAGGAAGGGGTGGGATTAAGGGGGAGGAAGGATAAATATGGCCAAAGTAGACTGTTTGCAAAGATGAAAATAGAGCAATGAAATCTATTAAAATTTTGTATGATTGGGTACCAGTGACTCATGCCTATAATCCTAGTTACACAGGAGGCTAAGATCTAAGAACTGCAGTTCAAATCTTACCTGGGCAGCTAAATCAAAGAGACTTATCTCCAATTAACCACCAAAAAGCCAGACCTGTAGGTATGACTCAACTGGTGGAACATAAGCCGTAAATGAAAAAGCCAAGTGCTGACACCCACATACCTCCCAAAAAAAGTTTTGGGAGGAGGCTGGGAAGATGGCTCAGAGGTAGAGCGCTTGCCTTGCATGCATGAAGCCCTGGGTTCTATTCCTCCGCATCACATAAGCAGAAAAAGCTGTAAGTGTTGCTATGGCTCAAGTGGTAGAGCACTTGCCCTGAGCTGATGAGCTGAGGGACAGTACCCAGGCCCAGAATTCAGGTCACACGACCAGCAAAAAGTTTTGGGAAGGGAAGATGGGGGTAGGAAGAATGATAAGAGGGATTGAAATTAATTGGAATATATTGTAAACACCTGTGGAAATGTGATGATAAATATCCCCTATGTAATTAATTTAACTTTATTTCTGGGGCTGGGAAGGTGGCTCAGTGGTAGAGTGCTTGCCTTGCATGCATGAGGCCCTGGGTTTGATTCCTCAGCACCACATAAGTGAAGAAAAAAGCCAGAAGTGGTGCTGTGGTTCAACTGGTAGAGCACTAGCCTTGAGCTGAAGAGCTGAGAGACAGTACCCAGGCCCCAGAGTTCAGGCCCCACAACCGACCCCCCCCCCAAAAAAAACAAACTTTAGTTTTTGCTGGTCCTGAGACTTGAACTCAAGCCTGGGCACTGTCCCAGTCCTGTCATTTTGTTCAACACTAGTGCTCTACCACTTGAGCCACCGCATCACTTTCAGCTGTTTCTGAGTAGTTTATTGGAGAGATGAGTCTCATGGACTTTCCTAACTGTGGGCTAGTGAAGAAGCTCAGTCTTCAGGTCTCAGCCTCCTGAATAACTAGGATTACAGGCATGAGCCACCAGTTGTCAGGCTCTAATTTCACTAAATAGTATCAAATGTAAAGGAAAAGACCTTAAGGCTTTTACAGGCAAAAAGGACAATTTATATGAATCTATAGGATTTGTTGTTGTTGTTTTGTCAGTCATGGGTCTTGAACTCTGGGCCTGGGTGCTGCCCCTCAGCTCTTCAGTTCAAGGCTAGTGTTCTACCACTTGAACCACAGTGCCACTTCCAGTTTTCTGGTGGTTAATTGGAGATAAGAGTCTCATGGAGGGGCTGGGAAGGTGGCTCAGTGGTAGAGTGCTTGCCTTGCATGCATGAGACCCTGGGTTCGATTCCTCAGCACCACATAAGCAAAAAGAAAAAAGCCAGAAGTGGCGCTGTGGCTCAAGTGGTAGAGTGCTAGCTTTGAGCTGAAGAGCTGAGGGACAGCGCCCAGGCTCAGAGTTCAGGCCCCACGACCAACCCCCCCCCCAAAAAAAAGAGTTTCATGGTTTCTTGCCTGGGCTGGCTTTGAACCACGATCCTCAGTTCTCAGCCTCCTGAGTAGGTACGATTACAGGCATGAGCCTGGCTTTTCTATAGAATTAGACATGGACTTCACAAATTATAAGTTTTTTTTTTTTTTGCTTTAAGTGAAAATGGAACTAAAGTTCTAGCCAAGTATTCTGCCACTTGAGGCATGCACCTAGTCATTTTGCTTTTTAGTTTACAGGGTTATACACTTTTGCTCCAGCTGGCCTCATACAGAGATCCTTCTACCTCAGTGTCCAGAATAGCTGGAATTATAGGTTGGTGCCACATCAGTCTTACTAGGATTTTAACAACTAGAATAAGAACACAAACCAAGTATATTGTGCACGACTATAATCCCAGGATTTAGGAGGCTAAGGCAGGAGAATTGAATTCCAGGACATCCTGGGCTGTATTATAGGTCCCAGGTGATTGCTAATCATTGGCTCAAAAGAAGAAAACAAGGTTCAAGGAGGAAGTGGAAAGGGGAGATATGTAACTTTAATAGAAAAGAGTAATTTGATTCAAGTATGGGGAGTGGGAGATGGGAAGGGATGGGAAGGGAAAACAAAGGAGGAGGCAACAATGCATGATAAGAAATGTATTCATTATCTTGCCCATGTAATTGTAACCCCTCTATACCATATTTTCACAATAAAAATAAATTTAAAAAACACTTGTACAATTAATATACTAACAAAAGTTCATCTGCCCATTTATTTTTTATTTTTTGGGTCCGGTCGTGGGGCCTGAACTCTGGGCCTGGGCTCTGTCCCTCAGCTCTTCAGCTCAAGGCTAGCACTCTACCACTTGAGCCACAGCAGCACTCCGCCTTTTTTTTTTTTGCTTATGTGGTGCTGAGGAATCGAACCCAGGGCCTCATGCATGCAAGGCAAGTGCTCTACTACTGAGCCAACTTCCCAGTCATCATCTGCCCATTTATATATATATATATATATATATTTTTTTTTTTTTTTTTTGTTGTTGTTGTTGGTCATAGGGCTTGAACTCTGGGCCTGGGTGCTGTCCCTCAGCTCTTCAGCTCAAGGCGAGCGCTCTACCACTTGAGCTACAGTGCCACTTCCAGTTTTCTGGTGGTTTATTGGAGATAGGAGTCTCACCGTCTCTCCTGCCAGGGCTGGCTTTGAACCGAGATCCTTAGATCTCAGCCTCCTGAGTAGCTAGGATTACAGGCGTGAGCCACCAGCGCCCGGCTGCAAACTTTTTTTTTAAAGTTCAATGCAGTGGACTTTGGTGGAACATGGCAAAAGTTCAGCTGTTACTCTTATGGCTCTTCAAACTATCCTTGTTTGTTTTTTGTTTGTTTTGTGCCAGTCGTAGGGTTTAAACTCAGAGTCTGGACACTGTTCCTGAGCTTTTGGGCTAAAGGCTAACATTCTACCACTTTGAGCAACAGATCTACTTCCAGCTTTTTAGTGGTTAATTAGTCTCACAGACTTTAGTGCCTGGATTAGCTTTGAAGCTCAGTCTTTGGATCTCAGGATTGTAGGTGGACCTAAGTTGCTAGGTTTTTTCAACAGTGAAACTTAAAAAACAAACAAACCAGGTGCCTAGCTACTCGGGAGGCTGTGATCTGAGGATCGTGGTTCAACGCCAGTCTGGGCTTCCATTCAACTCTTATCTCCAGTAAACCACCAGAAAACCAGAAGTGGCGATATGGCTCAAGTGTTAGAGCACTGACCTTGAGCTGAAGAGCTGAGGGACAGCACTCAGGCCTAAAAAAAAAAAATCCACCCCCCCCCCAAAAAAAAACCTACAACCAAAGCTGGGTGCCAGTGGCTCATGCCACCTTCCCAGCCCCTGTACAAGAACTTGGGTTCAGTCCCCTGTACCACAAAAGAAGAAACAAAGACATGTAATGATGGTTTTGTGTGATCTTCAGGAACAAATTGAATCCTTGTTGGCTTTGATGAAGGTAGGGATCTGCAGGAAAGCTTGGGCTTTCCATTTCTTGGGGGACCATTTATCTCTGCTACCAAAACATCTTTCCTCACACAAAAATTTCTTTTGTTTTGTTTTGTTCCCCTCAGATTACAGAGTTGAAGGCTGATTTTCAATACCAGGAATCTCAGATGAGGGCCAAAATGAACCAAATGGAGAAAACACACAAAGAAGTCACAGAGCAATTACAGGTAATTCTACTGGTGTACTTGGCTGATTGCATTTTATTTTATTTTTTTAAATTTATTTATTTATTTTTTATTTGTGAACATATTGTACAGAGGGGTTACAATTACATGGTGATTGCATTTTAAATAATCATCTCATGTTTCTTTTTTCTCAAAAGTTTTGGCAAATCACACCAAATCTCCCTTTTGGATATCTTTTATTACTATTTTACTCTATGATATATTCTGATCTTTTTCTCTCAAGAACCATGAAATTGGCCGAATGCCAGAGGCTCATATCTATCATCCTAGCAGCTACTCAGGAGGCTGAGATATAAGGATCATGGTTCAAAGCCAGCCTTGCAAGGAAAGTCTGTGAGACTCTTCAGTTAGCTACAAAAAAGATGAAAGTAGAGCTATGCCTCCAGTGGTAGAGCACTAGCCTTAAGCAGAAATGCTAAGGGACATTACCCATGCTCTGAGTTCAAACCTCAGGACAGACAAAAAACAACAACAACAACAAAAAACACTGGAATTAACAAATGAGTTCCTTAATTTTTTTAATATACCATGTATGATTCCAGATGTCTGAATTATAGATTCTGTTTACTGAACTCATTAAAGCATCACATGGTTGGTTTATATTGCATAAAATAACCTGTTTTACTTCTGTGTGGTGTGTGGCATTATTCAGGCTTGAACTCAGGGCCTTTCCCTCTCATTTGGCTTTTTTTTTTTTTGCTCAGGGCTGGCACTCTACCAGTCACTGCTCTACTTTCAGCCCCTTTCTGGTTAATTGGAGAGATCAGAGTCTCACTTCACAGACTTTGCTACCTGGGCTATTTTTGAACTGTGATCGTTGGATCTCAGCCTCTTGTATACCGAGTATTACAGGAAAGAGCTACCAATGCCTAGCTAAAAAGTGTCCTTTTGTTTTGGTGAGTTCCAAGAGATTGAGGCTCCTCAATTAGCCTATAGCAAATACTGTCTTCCCTGAACCAAATATGTAGCCTTAGGACTTTCTTCCTAATCTTCTGCATTGTTTGCTTTCATGTCTGCATGGAAAACCTATCCTAATCTTGACACTGATTTTTATTTTCCTTTTAGGCCAAAAACAGAGAGCTCCTGAAGCAGGCAGCTGCCTTGTCTAAGAGCAAGAAGTCTGAAAAGTCAGGCGCTATAACCTCTCCATGACAGACCATCAACAGGCTCCCTAGCAACAGCAGATGGAGTCGTCCTGGGTTGGAGACCTGGCTGTTCTCTAGAATCGCAAGCTTTCTTAAGAAATCTCTATTTTATTACAGCTATCCTTCTTTGTGCGACTGTCATGGGCTGAATGGAAACATCCGAGTTGTGCGCTGTTAATGACTGCATGCTTGAGTGTTTGGGGTTTCAAGCTCACTCTCCTCCCTACTCCCACCATGTCCTTTTCCTCTTCCCTCTGTCGATCCCTCCAGATCCCTCTACTCCTCCCTCCCACTTTTTTATTTTGATACTATTTGGTTGGTTGTGTGTGTGTGTGTGTGTGTGTGTGTGTGTGTGTGTGTGGTGGTCACTGCTCAGTGTTTTGTGCAGAGTGATGTTTTCTGTTCATCCTTGGGTCCTGCTATACCGTGGGCAAATTGTTTGCATTCATTGTGTATCACTGCCACTCTCTGAACTTTAAAAACTGCCACCTTAAGACTTGTTACAATGAGAGAGGCCTTCTCTCTCAATAAAGCTTTTGCTTCAGGGTATCTTTGGGTTTTTTTTTTCCAGGTATATTATGTATGAACTTTGTACTATGTATAGCCAGAGTTTTATTTATTTTTTAAAAAAAGAAATTTTTTCTTGCTAAAGGAATAATGGTAGCTGAGCTAGTCCTTGTAAAAGTGATGTCTCTTGAAAATAAAGTCCTATTCTCTAGCTTTTAGTAAAAGAATCAGATGGTTTCTTGTTACCTTACAGTCTTAAAACCGATCACTAAGGTGAAATATTTGATGCAGAAGTTCAGAGCTAAGTGCCTTTTGGAGAGTTTCTCGGAGGAGCATTTAAGGAGATGCTTGAGGTGGTTGCAAAGATTTGAACAGTCTGTCTTTTTAAAGTAAGGGCAGAAAGAAAGGTTGTCCAGGTTCTACTGGACACTTCCCCACCCTTTCCCTACTCCTTTATGTGATTGATTCCAAATTCTTACACTGCCACTTCTTTGGAAAAAAAATACCCTTTACTTGCTTTTATCAGTTATTATACTGGGCATTTGTCAGAAAACATTTCTTTTTTCATTAGCATATTCAAAACTGGATAATATTTGAACTCTGGAATATCGGAGGGTCAGTATGAGCTGCGTAAGTATGGCCTGTGAGTCTGATTGGGAGAATATCACTGTACCCTCTTCTCACCTCTTGCTCACTCTGGCCTGTGCACCCTTGCTTTTAATGGAAGTGTATGGAAAATCGGTGCTTCTCAGGAGCAGCACAGCCTCTGCCAGAGCATATGTACCCTGTCTTCCCTTAATGACCCAGTAGGCACATGGGAAGGAAGATAGATTTATATTTCTAGCCATACTCTTCAGGTTCCTCTATGTGATGTTTGTGAAGGAAATTGGAGGTGTGTAGTATGTGCGATGAAACAGAACAAAGCCAGTTACCTCTACATAAATATGGTGAGGGAGCAAGGTAGAATTAAGGGTAATCATTATAAGGACAGTGGACATTTGTTCTCAGTCTCTCAAAATTGTAACAGTAAATTTAACTTGTTAAAAGCAAAGTATTCTGTAATTTGTGATATGGTTCTGGAAAAAAGAGCCATGCATATAGCTGGACAGATGAGAAGTGGGTGGCTTCCTTTTCATCCAAGATACAATGGACCATGTTGCATTTTTATCAGTTTGCATCCCAGCAAGGAAAACAGTGTGAAATAGTTTTGTAACTTTTTGAACAAGAGACTTGTAGCTAAAGCTATATGTCAGATATTTTTCAGATGTATTTGACTATGGAGAAAAGATTCTGAAAGAAATGACAGTCATGGTTTTGTTCCCTTGTTTTTTATTTTAAAGACTGAGAAATTCAGATACATAAAGTTTGACAATATAAAAATGCATACATAATTTTTATACTAAATCTTTTTTTAAGGTCTTGACATTTAATATAAAGTAAATCCACACATTTTTAACTTTCCATAAGTTCTTAAAAGGGAAAGAAGAAATCTCAATTCTTAAAACTTTGATTTTTAAAAATCATGACACTGTTTTACCATGAAATTGAGTAGCTAACTTTTGGTAACACCTTTCATTTCTTTGTATGTTTGTAATAATGGACATTTTAAAACAAGAATGTTTTGGTTTGTACAGACTTTGGCAAATGTGTGTTAATAAAAATTCATATTGACTCAAGTGTAATTGAAGTATAACTGTGTTTTGTATTGTGTGTGTGTGTGGTGGGGTATTAAACCGGAAACTTTGTGCATGTCAGGCAAAGGCTCTACCATTAAGTTATACCCATAGCTCTATGTTTATTTCTAGCCTGGTCACCAATAGACATATCCCATTATCCTCTTCAATCCTGAAAACAGTTTATCTTGCTTGTAACATAACAGGAAGCTTCAAAAGTCTGAAGAGATAGCCATCCCAGGCGCTGATGATTCACATTTGTAATCCTAGCTACTCAGGAGGCTGAGATCTGAGGATCTCAGTTCAAAACCAGCCCAGGTAAGAAAGTCCATGACACTCTTATCTCCAGTTAACCACCAGAAAAACTGAAGTGGTGCTATGGCTCAAAGTAGTAGAGCACTATCCTTGAACAAAAGAGCTCAGGGACAGTACCCAGGCCCTGAGCTCAAAACCTATGACTGACAAAAAAAGAGCCTGGTACAGTTGGCTCTTAGCTATTCAGGAGGCTGAGATCACAGTTCAAAGCCAGCCTGGCAGGAAAGTCTGTGAGACTTCTCTCCAGTTAACTACCAAAAGACCAAAAATGGAGCTGTGGCACAAGTGGTAGAGCAAGCTTTGAGTGAAAAAGCTAAAGAACATCACCTAAGCCCTGGGTTCAAGCCCTAGTACCAGCACAAAAAGGAACAAATGAGGAAAGGAAGGGAAGAAAGAAAAAAATATTCTGGACTGGGAATGTGGCTTAGTGGTGGAGTGCTTACCTAGCATGCATGAAGCTCTGGGTTCGATTCCTCAGTATTACATAAACAGAAAAAGCTGGAAGTGGTGCTGTGGCTCAAGTGGTAGAGTGCTAGGCTTGAGCAAAAGAGTTCAGGGACAGTGCCCAGGCCCTGAGTTCAAGCCCCAGGACTGGCAAAAAAAAAAAGTTCTGCTTCTTAGTGTGGCTGGTATTTAGCCACATGAGTGGGCACAAGGGCCAAAATGCATTGAATGGAAGACTTCATATCTGCATTCCATTGCACATGTTATAATTTAATAAAAAATTGAGTATCAAAAAATGCTTCTGGAGCCAATGCCTGGTTTTGAGACAACTGGTAAGTCCATCTCCTGTGTATATAATTAGGACTGTATTGTTGCATATAGGGCACATACTCTGCTACTTAAGAGTTGTATCAGTTGTATGCTATTGGACAAGTACCAACAATCCCTAAGAATAGTAATTTCCTTTTTTTTTGTCCTTTTTTTTGTGAAAATACAGAGGGGTTACAATTACATGGGCAAGATAATGAGTACATTTCTTCTCAAGCATTGTAGCCTCCTTTTATTCCCCTTCCCATCCCTTCCCATCCTCTCCCCACCCCCGCCCTTTTTTTTTTAAATCAGTCATGGGGCTTGAACTCAGCTTGGGTCTTTCCTTCAGCTAGCTCCACCACTTGAGCCACTGCACCACCGCTTCCAGTTTTCTGGTGGTTTATTGGAGATAAGAGTCTCACGGGAGGCTGGGAAGGTGGCTCAGTGGTAGGGCGCTTGTCTTGCATGCCTGAGGCCCTGGGTTCGATTCCTCAGCACCACATAAGTAAAAAGAAAAAAGCCAGAAGTGGCGCTGTGGCTCAAGTGGTAGAGTGCTAGCTGAAGAGCTGAAGAGCTGAGGGACAG